ATGTAAATCAGGAGTAATTGCACAGCAGTGAGTGGAACAGCAGCAGGTCAGCGTGGTGTAGTTGTGGGACTGTGGCCATGGGAATTGCTTTCTTACCCTCTCCGCAGCCCGGCTCTGGAAAGTGCCTGGGGAGCAGGCAGAGCAGAGCTGATGTGAGGAGCTGAGTCTAAACAGCAATCTGCTCTTTTCCCTGGTGAGAACTGCTGATTTCCTAGCAACATTCGAGGCTTTCTCTGATCTTTTTAACCATAAGAGTTGAGAAGCATCCTTGGCTTACTCATAGCAGCTGAGATTGTGAGTACAGAGAAAATTCCATCCCGCTCAGAAATAGGTAAAAWTGTCAGTGCTCTGAGCCAAGAAGAAACAGTTTTGTTTACCAGTTTGATTCGGCCCTGCTGGTACTGCTGTCCTCTCAGTGAATCTCTCCTGTTTGCTTCCTTACAGATTTCTTGTTTTCCAGTATGTGACATCCAGTTAAAGATTTCTCCTCTCCAGTGAGCCYTTGCAGTTACTCCATCCCTATTTCATAATTCAAGTCTGCAATCCAAAGCCGCAAGGGGTCCAATAATAAAAGCTTTTTGCAGTAAATACTGTACTAACTTAGGCCAAGCCACAATTGAATGCTAGAGGCCAAGTTAAAATGTAAGCCCAGCAAAAGCTTTAATCACAGGGGGTGGAGAGAATACATGGGGCTGAGACAGATCAGTCAAACCCACACTTCCCAAACCCTCCCGCCTCATGGGAAGTTAGTTCCTTGGTCAAAGTAATACCTACATTCATGGGATCTSTGGAATTTGCCATGGTTGAATGTCTGTGAAAACTGATACGATGTTTCTATTGCTTTGGTTTCTCCAGAGTCACTCTTTGCTGTGGGAGGAAACTGGGTTTTAACACTACCCAGTAAGACAATGAGATCTATTTTTTCCCCCTCATATTCATATTTTATTCCTCTCCTGCCATAGTCACAAAGGATAATAGTTTTAATCTACAAGTACATACATTTAAATATGTATGTGTTTGTGTAATGAACAAGCAAATAAGATTTGTTTCCTGGTACAAGCAGTGTACAGTGAAATCGATGGAGTTTTATTGCCAAAAGTAAACACAGATCCTGACATGTCTGCACGCAGTCAGCAGGGTGCAGGAGGCTTGAGTTACATCCCTAATGTGGATTCTTTAAATCATTTGGCAGKGTTTTGGATGTCAAGCTGATATCTGGAGGTAAAGACTGTGCAGCCTGCCAGTGCACTGGACAATCTGAACCAGGCCAGGTGTGGCAAATGCAGCAAAATTTTCTAGATTAAATTGATTTTCTCTGTACTTTTTTTTTTCAGCAATGTGTGTCCATTTGGATGGCCTGTGTGATCAAGCACCAGCAAATTATTGTCAGCTGTTGTAATTTACTGCCTGCTCTTAATAAAACCTGCAGATGAATTACTGCTATTTGTGGCCTTTTCTGTTGCCTATATTTTCAGTCTGGTTGAAAAGCACCTGAATGATGCAGTTACTGAAGTATTTTTAGTGGAAGAAAATATTAGGAAATGCATTTAATTTGCATGATAGTTTCTTGGGAAGTTTATTTTTGTTTTCTGAGCAACAGCATTGAAATGTAGAGTTTGTCRTTATAAAAGCAGTGATGTCTTTATAAAATTCTCGTCATTCCTGCTGTCCAAAGGCCTTTTTTTTTGGTGCAAACTGTCAATGTTATATCAGCTGCTGCCTCCTCTCTGTCCAGTTCAGATTCTCTGTAAAGCRTCCCTTTTTGTTTTTTTCCTCTTACTTGATGCTTTACACTGAAGTCTTGATTAGTTAAAGCTTCCCTTTTAATATACGATGATTGTTGAGGAAATATTAATTTTGCCAAATAGACGCMCATTTTTTTAAATGTGTGCTTACTCTGGAGCCAAAGAGGACTCTTTTGAAGTGCCCTAGTGCCTTAGCCTGCAGATGATCAAATTTAATTTTGTAAATGAACTTTGCAGCGTGATTGAATTTGAACTTGATTACATTAGGCTTAGCATTGAGTTTGTGCCTTATTGGAGGTAGTCTTTTCATATTACTGCTATTTATGGATCTTATTCAAGTGTTTTATATTCTGGTTGGGTTCTGCAATGCAGTTGGTTCAAGCTACTGCTTATATCTGTTCCAGTTGTGCAAGAAGTGGAAAATATCCTTTATTTAGAACAGGTCACATGTTCTTGCATCCAGGAACCGTGTCTCAGTGTGATTAAAAAAAAAAATAAAAATGTATCTTGGAGGAACAGATTTAAAAAGTTCCTGAAATATTTTTCCGTCTGTTACAGAGGAACATTACATATTTTAAACTAAAAGGTAATAATAGCTGCGCTGGAAGTGCTACGTAGGCCAGCASTGCCTGAAATCAGTGGTAAAAGTCTGAACCGACGTCAGTGGGAGTAGAGCTAAGCCAAAAGTATGTCTCTGAAATCTCTCCGGTAACATTTTTGTGAGTGAGTCAATAATTCCATGTTTTTTTTCTGCACCTCAAATTYGCTGCACTGGGAAGGAAACCCTCACCACATATTTTTGTACTTCTTTTTAATTTTTGAAAGCAGTCTTAAAAGGAAAGGCTGCAGTTGGAGTGTCTATTGTATAAACATGTGGAGGCAATAAGTGGTATTTCCGTATATTTCTTTACACAGGGAGCTGGTCCTGCTCCCTGTCTGTAGCAGAGTGGTGAGAGATCCTGGGTGACCTTTTCTCTCCTGCAAAACTCTTGCTCTGTTATTTGCAGTAGGCCTTTGTTATTTAGCAAGGAAACAGAAATAGCCCATGAAATTCAGTTCAGCATTTGCTTTGATACGAACTATTGAGCGTCACCTTTTTGCTTCCCTGGCCTGCTTTCCTCGGGAGGGTTTTGTGTGGCTGCCAAGCTGATCAGAGAGGGCACAGATATTTTAAGGCCGAGCTGGCTGCACTGACTGTGCATCTTTTAGCAAGCACATGTGTTTGCTTTTTATTTATCAGGCTGCTGGCTGCGTTAGTTGTGTGTAAGTACACACAATATGCATTCTGCTTGAAATAAATCTGTACTTTTTTTGGTGAGCAGGAAACTTCCCCAGCTGGCTGCTGTAGATTTATAGATTCCAGGTGATAATTTGAATCAATACATTTTGTCTCTTACATGGCTGAAAATAAGSCTGTGCAGCCAGCCTGAGCTGATGGAGAGCTGGGCTGCCCCTGGTACTGCTCATTTTTCTGCATGTAGTGGAGGTCATTTCACAAGCTTCTGGTCTAGAATTTTTGGTGCTGCTGTGAACCCACCAGTTGTCATTAASAAGTTGTTGCAGAGGCTCTTGTGTCCTGTGTATGTTTTTATTTGGCACTTRGGGCAATGTATCAGAGGTCTTTTGCAGCGTGGTGGTAGGCAGCATGAGTAATWCCTGCTGTATGGTCTGGTCTAGATCTAGAAGAAAACTGGGAAGCAAGAGCAGAAGAGATTTGCAGATGTGCTATTTTGCAAACAAATTCTGCCTCTTAATGATGTTCTCTGATTAAAAGTTGATTGGGAAGAAATCAGTACAGCTGCTTAAAAGTGAGGGTACAGGAGAAACCTGTTCCGATGCTTAATGATGTGGTCCTCCTGTTTTGACGTTTGCTTTTTAAAGCAACATGCTTTAAGACTTTGAAAATTAAATARGAGTAGTAAATTTCTGTTTACTTTTCTGCTGAAAAAAAAAAATTGAAATTTTGTGTTGGCTGTTAATTGTCTTCTGTGAACAATCTGCTGTTTCAGTGTTGGGAACAAAATGAGAGTCCAACTTCCATTAAGCTGGTCAGGCTCTTGGCCATTATTGTCTGTCTCGTTCTATTTTGGATTCAGAAAGTTTTTGAAATACACAGGCTGTAATGTTTTTGCTTGGAAAAATTCACTGTCTTTTAATATAATTTTTTTGCTGGAACAAAGACAACATGATTAAGCAGCATGGCATGGCAGATTTTGCTGGACAGTTAACCCATTGCATCACTATCGTATTATACTAGAACTGTGATGATTTATTTTTAATAATCTCTAGTTAAACAGTAACAGCACAGCTAGTGGCTTGTGTGTAGTTTTGCACTTCATTTCATACTGGGAAAAAAACAGCACAGGGAAATGCATTTTATTGCATATTCATAACATAACAATGCCACTGCTTTATCTGCAACAGCTGTAAAAAAAAAAAAAAACACTGATGCTGCTTTGAGTGTCAAGATTTAAATATTCACTGGAACCAAAGTCTTGGAAGAGGTCAGCTTGTTCTCCAGCCCATCTGAGGCAGAATGCAGTTTTTGGGGCTCGCCAGCCAAGGCTCTCCTTGTTTGAGTGGGCATCAACAGTTTTGGGGTGCTTTTTGAAAGGCTCTCTCTCAGTATCTTTGCCCAGAAATTGAGCTTGTGACTTGCACAGGCCTTGGTCACTGTTGTCTGTGGGCTTCACCTGAGAATAAGTGTTACAGAGTGGTCATAGTAGCATCCAGGTGWAACCAGGATAGTGTGGGTATCACCTTTACCAGCACAAAAATGGTGACAAACTAAGGAAGGCTCACACTACAACTTCCAGCTAATACTTCAACCACTAATAGTGCCTTTGGATCGAGCTCATTTTTTCTGGTAACATCCCTGCTGCAAGGGCTGCTGTAATGTTTGTGTTAGCAGCTTTCTGCCAAGCATGCAAGCCAGGGGCTGGTGGTTTTTAGCTTTTTTTTCTTCTCTGGTAAGTGATTATGTAGAAACGCTCTGTAGGCTCCCCCCACCCTGACCTGCTGCTCGCAGCTGCTGCATGGACTGGACTGGCAGGTTGAAGGGCAAAATTGTGTTGCTGTGATATATAATTACTTCTTCCAGCATGAGCCAACAGAGCTGCTTGCTGTGATGATTGTTACGTATACTGCTATGTAAAACAGAATGCAAGTGTAATGTGGGGTTTGGGCTAGTATTTTAATGTTGTAATTAGCTGCCTCTAACCGTAAACAAGTTTTTTTTTTAAATCAGTTCCCATGAAGATTATTCCTTTACAATGCAGGCAGACATACATTTGCAGATGTGGAGTTTATGAATTCTGGGTTCCTTGTATAAATGAGCATAAAGAACAGAAAAGTGCCRTTTTCTCAGGTCCTTTTTCTCTTACTCTAGAGCATCTCAGGTGCGGTGTCAGGTGGCTGGAGCCCAGTCCTGCAGTTGGTATTTCATAGGGATATTACAGCTCAGAGAAACAGCTGCACTGGGGACAATGCTGCAGCTGCCACCTCTGGGAAGACCTGGATTTATCCTCCTTAACTGCTCCCCCAAAGAAGCTGATCTAGCTTCACAGGTACGTTGCACCTTCCTTTGTGCTTCTCCTCTGGCACAAAATGGGYATAAACCCACCTGAACCTGCAGTTTGGGCTGGTGTGGCCTGGGGGAGAGTGTTGGGGGTCTGTTCTTCTCAGACCACCCTGTGAGGTTGCTTGTGAAGAGAGCACTGAAGTTTTGGAGAGTTGGAAGGATGTTTGTGTCTGTTCAAACCCTACAGAGGCAATCTTTATCTTTTGTGCAAGGATTATGTGCCTGGTTTGGCCTACTGTTACATTGAAGAATTTATTTTGGGTGAATTCTGAGAAAATGCAGATGAATATTGGTATTCTGGGTTCCTGGAAAGATGGTGATAATCTCTGAGATATTCAGGTGCTGGAATTTTGCCAATTTTGATGTGTTTAAAGCAGCAAGATGATAACAGTATATTGTTAAAACATGCTTGTAACCCGAATGCTGAGACACTCTGTTTTCTTTGCAAATACATGACAACACAAACTGCTGCAGGAATAGGGGAAACAAACAGGGCAGGGGCATTGTGGTCTGGAGGTCAGAGAAGAGTAACAAGAAGTGGGAAGAACTGGAATGTCCCAAGTGAAGGATGCTTTGTAGGATGGAGACAGGAGCAGTCAGTGGTTGTTACTGATCTTGCTGCCAGCCATCATGTTGTAATATATAAACACATGAAGGAAACAGCAACTACTGTGATCCTTTCTGGAGGAGAAGCAGCCAGCTAGAAAACTTGGGCCGGAGGTACTATTTGAGGGTGAGAAGATGGGAGTGAACTTTTGAAGCTGTGAGATGGTGAGAAATTGTGAAWATGGGCAAGGGGAACATGTGGTTCTGGAGCTTCAGACTGGGAGGTCGGAATGATGCCATAGAAATGGAAAAGGATCATTGAGAGACCTGAGTGGGAGAGCCTAGCTGAGCATGTTTTGTGCAYATGTACTATTTCCTTTCAGGATTCTTAAAATAAAGGAGAGAGCTTGTATAAAGTATGACTTTGGAAATGCTTTTTCTGGATGTGTYGCTGCATGGTAATATGCAGCTGTAAAGCCAAATTAGGAATACAAACCTTTTCTATAATGTTGGTGAACTTCAGCCTGGATAAGTAACCATTTCGGCCTGAGAAAATGAAATTAAAATGGTAGTGACATGTGTACGCATGCAGCAGGGAATGATCTTAGAGAAAAGCAAAGGGAAAAAAAAAAACCTGTTAGGGGCTGTTCATTGGAAGCTGGAAGGCGTTCAAGAGGGTGTGGGTCTCTTGCAGTGTGTCCCCTGGGATGCCATTAACCACTGTGTTTGGGTTTCTGCTCAGTCTAGCAAACTTTATTTTATTTGTAGTAAACATTTACAATTCTGCCCAAGCTCAGCCAGCTCAAGGCACATTCCAGCTGTCAGTCTGTCTGGTCAAGCCACAGGCATGGTTCACAAGAGTTGCTGGAATCATTTATTTATTTACTGCTGTTGTATCATGAAGGTTGCTATCAGATAAATAATTATTCCACCCTTGGAGAAGGTACATTGTAAATCTGCTAAGCTGCTCCTTTGTTTGTTAGGCTTGTGCATAATGAGTTTGGAATTTAAGATTAGTAGTGTGCTGTGCAAACTGCTCATTTGGTGACCTCATCCTCGGCTGGGCTCGCCTGCCCCTCCACCTGTCACATCCTGTTGGACACTTGGGGCTATGTTCATTAGGGGAACTTTGGGGTTAGCCTTGCGTCATCACATTTTTATGTGTTCTGTTGCCTAGTGGAATTTAAAAAAAACCCTATGAGGTGGGTGTCTGGGTTCCTTAAAGAACCTGGGGTGGCCTCAGAGCAGGCTGGTGRACACTGGCCTGTGGAGTTTGGGAATGCAGAAGTCAGCCAGGGAAGGCTGCAAGAGGCTGCTGGTGATGCTGAACGCTGTCCCTCAAAGATCTGGGTGTCGGGTGCAGGGGAGTTGTTGCTAAACCTTCCTCGGATGACGTGCCCAAGGCAGGTGTGCTCTTACAGAAATGAGGAAGAGCAGGTACTATGACATCCCCCTKCCCCAGCTTTATCCACTCAGCACATAAAAGTTTGGAGTTCCAGTCCTGACTGTGACTCAAGACACAGGATTGAAAGTGCCCACCATGCTTGGGAGTGCCCAAAGCAATAAACCATGAGCTTTGTGAGGTGTCTTTATTTGCAGAAGCTCCTCCATTTTGCCTGGTATTGTTTGAGCCTAGTAGGGGCAGGAGTGATTTGGTCTAACACAAAGGAGAGAGTATTTGCATTGGATGGTTCTCACTTTGCTCCAAAAAATAATTGCTTGTATAAAGTGGAACAGCTTTACCAGGAAGCAAGTTAGATGTGCTCAGAAATTAGATGGTTTTCAGCTCCATCTAAAAGGTAGTTGTCCAAACTTCTGTAGTTGAGGTCACAGCATGAAATATGGCAACCTGCTCAAAGTAAGAGTGGTGATTTTTGGGGCAGAGATWGTTGGATGAAGGGAAGGAGTCTGGAAATGTTGCAGGAGGGCAAGAAGTTGAAGGATGGTATAGACTCTGATACCCAAAAGGCTTCTCAGAGTGTTGTGTGTTGGTGAAGAAGCTTCAGGCAAAGGTGGGTATTAAAAGTGACGACAAACATACGTTAGTTCTTAGGAGTGCTTCATTTTTGGGGAATGTGAAGTCATTTGTGGTACAGCAAAAGGAGCTGGAATCTGTGTAGAAAGAGGTTACTGAGGAATAAGGTGAGTAAGGCAGGAGCTGAATTAAGATTGTCTGTATCACAAACTTGTTTTTTAATTTAGCTTGTTGCACAATTTACAGTTTCAATCTAATTGCAAAACTACTCTGCAAGTGATAATTTGGTTCCCAACTAATGCAACTTTTGATACTGTACAAAGCTGTGTAGTAGGAGCTGTTAGCCCTGAAGGTGCTGTGGGCCAGGAAGGACTTGGTGTTTTYCAAGTGTGTCAAGTAATGTAAAAATCTGTAAAATGGATCTGCCTGTTAGGAGGATCTCAGAGATGCTGGAGCTACCCCTGAAAACGAACCAGGGTTGGCTGGAAAGAGCCTGGTGCTGCTGCTGGACATTTTCARAGCTGGGGAGGGGTTTTTTCTTATTTGCCAAGGAATTAGCCACACTACCTTTACAGCAGCCTYCTGCTTTCTGGCAGAGATCCCTCTGAGCAGGCAGTAATTGCTGTCTTTCCAAAGCAATCCTCYTTTGTGGAGGAGTCATAATTATCCCTCACTTAGCCTCTCTAATGAAGGTGCTTGTAAGAGTTGTGCTGGGGTGCAAAGATGTCCATAAGGCAAAATTCCCCTCATCTGTGCCTGCAGTGGTGTCTTGCCCCAGTCTGGGACGAGTGTTCTTGGTTCTCAGGTGGGATCTTCAGGGACTTGCTCTTTGAAAATGGGCACCATTTGGCYTTTTGCTTTGTAGTACCATTTGAGAGTGTGAACAGCCCTGCAGAGGAGCTGGTGCAGTGATCTTGTGTTCCTGAATGCTGCTCTGCTGTGCTCAGAGTTGCACTGGGCACCAGCTGCATGAAAGGAGGAGAGAGAAGGTGGCTGTTGCAGTGAGCTCTGACCTGGGGCACCCAAGGGCGGCTTTATCAGCTGGTGGTCCCACCATCTCCATACYCAGAGCTGTTCCTGGGCAGCCTGAGCAGCTGTTTGGGGAAGGCACAGAGGCTCAGGGGAGCTGAGAGCTCCTGCTCTCCCCAAGGACTGCAGTAGCATCACGGCACTATCGCTGTGCTTCAGTGCTCAGCAGGGCCTGGTGATGCTC